ATAATTTTTGTGTGTATGTGGTGGGAACAATGAAGATCTGGTTTCTTAGCATCTTTGAAGGTTACAATACAGTATTGTTGACTATAATCACTATGCCTTGCATTATATCTCCATGACGTATTTAACTGCTAGCTGCAAGTATGTGATCCTTGAAATACAATCTGTGTCCAATTTTTTCTGTCATATTTGGGAGAAGGCACACTGCACTCTGAAATGGGAGTCTCCTTTATCCTGGATGCCCCACTTTTCATTGTTGCATTTCAGAACCACCCCTTCTCTGTACTCAGTGGCAGAAAGTGGAGCGAGAAGAGAGAGGTGCTACAGGCTGCACAGTTTACAGATGCAAGAGGAGACTTGGACCTGAAGATTTCTGATAAGAGTGTAGGTAAAGTCAGGAAAATGGGGTGGAGAGATGCAGAGACTCCAAGGGGCTTAAAAAAGAGAGAGGTGATATGAGAAGAGAGGGAAGAACTATGTTAGCAAAGGAAGGGACATCCACTGGGTTATAAATCAGGGCATGAGGCTTCAGACCTTTGGTCGGGGAAAAGGACAAAGTCTGAGAAAAGGGACCCAATGCCTGACTTTCCACACTCCTACTGTATATGGTTCACGTTCATCACTGAGCTTTGAGTAAAGAACTGCTTACCCATATTTGGGCTCTGGGATCTAAACAGAAAGGGGGAGACCCCCTGCTCCAATATCAGTGTTAGGAAACACCTTCATTGAGGCTGCTCAGTGGGCAGTGATTGGGAACAAAAGAAAAGGATCTTTTGCCTATCCTTTGCAAAGTGACCCAGAGTGCAGAACACTGGGTAGGAGCTACAGGGCAGCAAATTTCATTTCTGCCAAGGATCACCTTTTAAATGCTCTTTCTGACTAAAGGTATACAGGCTGCTTTGGGGGAAGTGGATATCTTGTAAGTGTAGTAGATACAGGGTGAACACCTAGTACAAGTGGTGTGGGAGGGATTCAAGCAGGATTTGAATCAGAGATGATGTCATCATTTGAGAATATACTCCTATATAATAAATAAGCAATATGCAAATTGACCATCACTCCAACACACACACAATGGCCGCCCCATGTGGTCAAAGATGGCCGCCCCAATGTGGACACAAGATGGCCAGCAGGGGAGCAATTAGGCATTGATCAGGCTGGCAGGGGAGTGGTTATGGGGTGATCAGGCTGGTAGGCAGAAGCAGTTAGGGACAATCAGGCAGGCAGGCAGGCGAGCAGTTGGGAGCCAGGAGTCCTGGATTGTGAGAGGGATGTCTGGGACCTCAAGGGGTCCAAGATTGGAGGGGTGCAAGCTGGGCTGAGGGACACAAAGATACCCCCATACACAAACTTCATGCACCAGGCCTCTAGTAATTCTATAATTGTTGAAATACTTAGATTCTGAGAAACATTAAGAATATTTGGGAGCAGGACTATGATAAACTGTATTAGAATCTCAGAGTTAAAACTCATTATAGAGTCAGAGCTAGACAAGATCTTTAAAATCATCTTGTCTAACTTCCCTTCTCTCCCCACTTTATATAAATTTTAAAAAGTAGGGCCTACGCCCTGGTCAGTGCGACCTCCTGCACCAAGGAGTCTCAGATTTGATTCCTGGTCAAAGGCACATACCTGGGTTGCAGGTTTGATCATTGGCTCTAGTTCAGGTGTGTGTGGACGCAATCAATTGATGATCTCTCTCTCTCTCTCTCTCTCTCTCTCTCTCTCTCTCTCTCTCTCTCTCTCTCTTTCTTTCTCTCCTGCCTCCTTCCCTTCCACTCTGTAAAAACCAATGGAAAATATATCCTCAGATGAGGATTAACAACAACAACAAAAAAATAGGTCCCAGAGAGATGTGACTAACTCAAGGTCGCACAGCTAAAAAGTGAAAGATCTGGGCTAAAACCTGGAACTTATAGACATGTTCCATCTCTCAATATCTTTGCTGGGCTCATGATCAAGTCTGCCCAGCAATATCTGGAACCTTGCCAGGAAAAAAATAATGGAAACAATTAAACCTAGACAAATGACAGCTTCTTCAGATGTCATTTAGACACAAAGGAAGATAAGAAACTCAACTGCTGAAACCCCTTGATAACATCAAGGAAAAGGAGTCATGTCACATAAATCTCAGGGATGATGTCATCTAAACACACAAGCAGTTAATGGAAGTTCCAACTCATTATGAAGGAAATGATTCTTATAAATAGTTTTGATCTAGAGATACTGTTTGGCGTCTTGGAATCATAGGTTCTTGAAATAGGAAGATCTACCATAAAGGTCATGTAATCCAGGGCATGCTGATCCTGCAAATGTTGGGCAGGGTTAACGCCACTCTTAATCCTGTGTTTCCTTGGTATCTTATGCCAGCCACTACTCTAACATTTTGTATGATAAAATATATCAAATTAAATGAAATTTTTTTTCCTTCCAAACTGAAAGTAGTTTTTCATAATTATAAAATAAGCATGCCTATTGTAAAATCTACTAGAGGCCTGTTGCATAAAGATATTTGTGCAGTAGGCCTTCCTTCCTTTGGCTTCCAGCACCAGTTTTCCTCAGGTACCCAGGACCCAGGCCTTCACTCCAGCCAGAGTCTGCCTTCTTAGTCTTCGCTGCAGACTCCAGCTGAAATCTGACATCTTTGTCTTTGCTGCAGACTCCGGAGTCTGCAGTCTTGTCTTCGCTGTGGTACTCTGTTCCTGTAGATCCCTTTGCCCCTGCTCTGCCCCCCTCTGCCCTCCCTCTCACAGAAGGCATCCTGCCCCTCCTGGCTACTCCACTCCAGGAGCAGCTGGGTGGCCGTCATCTTTGGCCTTCTAATTTACATACTCACCCTGATTGGTTGTGGGTGTAGTGGAGGTATGGTCGATTTACATGTTTGTCTATTATTAGGTAAGATATATATAAAAAGCTAATATGCTAATTGTTCAACCATTTGACCAATCGCTATGACACACAGTGACCACCAGGAGGCAGATGCTCAATGCAGGAGTTGCTGAGCTGCAGTGACTTGGCAGCAGCAGTTCTCAGGTGATGCACCCTGAAACCAGAGAAGAGGGAGCATGATTCCTTGTAGGGCCACACGATTCCACCTTTGGTCATGGGTTATGTTGTTGCTGGGGCACTGTTGGCTCTGAATCTGGTTTACTGCACACTTGCATTTGCATTTCACACCCTGTATGACAGCAACTTTGCAGAGTGTCCTCTCGCACTCCCAGACCCCTCAGAGAATGTCAGAGAGCCGGTTTCTGCCTGATTTTTGCAGGCCAAGCTCAGGGACCCCACCTGCTGAAGGGATCCTACTCACTCCGCAGACACTGGGTAGGGACCACAGGAGGTTGACTCCAGGGCACGTCTAGCCCAGTCCTGCCCTGCTGGGCCACCTTATAATTAATTTCCTTTCAATGTGCATGAATCTGTATACCGGGTTACTCATTTCAAATAATACAGAGGAGTATAAAAAAGACTTACCAGAAATATCATCATCTAGATATAGTCATTGTTAATATTTGATAAGTATCATTCATTTATTTCTCCATGCACTCATGTTTATACTTGCACATCCAGAGAATAAGTGCAGGTTTTGTCACATTCCTGTTTTCACTTAACTATTTGTATAGAGCTACAGTTTTATTTTAATGGCTTCATGATAAACTTTAATATGCTTCATGATAAGACCTGATATTCTGTATGAATAAGCCTTAATATAGTGAGTCAGATCCTGGCTGATGAATTAGTGTTCCCAGTTTTTTGCTAAATTGGGAGGTTATTTCCTGCTTCAGAGAGAGAGGTCATCTCGGTCACCCTTGGAAGGTTGAATCATCCCTGGAAACTAAAAGTAATTTGCTTCTTCTAAAATGGTGAGAAGGGTGACTATAGGGCAAAGGCTCCTTGCAAAGTGAGTGGGAGGGGCTACTCTCTGTGGGAAAGTGAATATAAAGGGACCTTTGACCCGGCTGGTGTGGCTCAGTGGTTGAGCATCGACCCATCGACTAGGAGGTCATGGTTTGATTCCCAATCAGGAAAAATGCCTGTTTGGGGGCTCAGTCCCCAGTGCGGGGCATGCAGAAGGCAGTCAATCAATGATTCTCTCTCTCCCTCTCCCTTCCTCTCTCTGAAACCAATAAAAACATATTTAAAAATTAAAAGGAACCTTTGTTTGCGTGAGAAGCTGCTATCCTCGGGGGGAAGGGGCACCTCAAGGAGAAGTGAGTGACAGGAGTCCCTCTGACCTTGGCTAACTTCCAGGTCAGCTTGTAAACCTGTCCCAGCAATGCCCACAGCAAGAATAAGAATTGAGGACCCGATCAGCCTCTGGTCTATGGCTCGGCTCACTGGCACCAGCTCTGGGGCAAGAGACATGGCTGCCTAATTCCTTGATCACTAAATAAGGTCAAATGTTCATTTACTTCTGGGTTCAGGGTACAGATTACATAACCAACTGCTACTCTGTTGCTAACACTCTTTCATAATTATCATAAGAGACAGTACCAGCAGTTAATTCCCATGGGTGCTATATGAGGTGGAGGCTGGGGGGCTCTAGCAGCTACCCACACTCTGGCGACATTGGATACCAAAGTACCACCACCACCACATCCAGCTGAGGAAGAGGGGAGATGACAATGCAATGAGTACTTTTCTACATATATCTTTACGTATTTATCCAATTACCTCCTTAATGTAAACTCTTCTACGTGGAATTGCTGGGCCTGTGGCAAATGCTCAACAAATCTTTTTATTTATTTTTTTTATTTTATTGATTTTTTTTACAGAGAGGAAGGGAGAGAGATAGTCAGAAACATCGATGAGAGAGAAACATCGATCAGCCTCCTCCTGCACACTCCCCATTGGGGATGTGCCTGCAACCAAGGTACGTGCCCTTGACTGGAACCTGGGACCCTTCAGTCTGCAGGCTGACGCTCTATCCACTGGCCAAACCAGTTTTGGCTCAACAAATCTTATAGTTAAGCTGGGTGGTGCCTGGGAAGGACCAGCTGGCCAGCTGCTGAGGACCTTCACAGGCAGCAACATATTACAGAAGTAGCTGCTGTCCAGGGTCTGGTCTTGAAGGTTCAGAAACTTGATCACATCCAGGCTCCAGAGTTACTGGGACTCTGGAAGCTGACTCACTCAGAGGAGACTGGAGGGGATAAAGCAGAATGCCAAATGATGGATTTATAATGAGAAGTATAAATGCCAGGGGTAGCAGGCATTTGGGTCAGCCTGACCCAACCTGTCCTTTGTCACTGTGGAAAGCTAAATCACAATGAGGATCCTTGTGGTAGGCCTGGACTAGAATAAGAAGAGTTAGTGAGGTGATCTGAATAGTGATCTGATGACCCACTACCCCACCAGGGTGATATATTTATTCTCTCAGGTGACAATGGCTTCAAAGAGAAATCAGATGAGTTCTAAGTACAAAAATGGCTCTGTGGCCAAGGTGAGCCCCAAACCATTCTCCTTATAGACTTCCTTCTTCTATACGGACTTGGGAACTCACAACTTTTCTTAAAGATAGAGAGGGTGCAGATGGTTCAAGGACACCTTGGGCCCTATTTTTTTTTTTAAAAAAGACTGTTCTTATCTCACTTTTATTAATCTGTTCACTTATGTATGTATTTAACAAATAATGATTGACCACCATTCAGATCCTGGGGAGACAGCAGTGAGCAAAATAGACAAAATCCTGCTTTTGTGGGGTGCACATTCTAGTAGGAGGGAGAGTTAATAGAGTTAATATACATATAATTAAATAAATATGCAAAACAAATACATCACTAAATATATAAGAAAATTGCTAACTATAGAAACCTGTACATAAAATGTCAGGTGGCAATGTTTGTTATGAATGAAAATTGAGCAGGATAAAGGGTTAAAGAGTAATAGAGTATAAGGGAACAATTTTTATGTGGTGATCTGGGAAGGTCTTTCTGGTAAAATGATATCTGAACAAAGACCAAACTAAACAGATATCTGCAGGTATTTCAGGTATAGGGAACAGCATATGCAAAGGTTCTGAGACTAACACACGCCTGGAAAAGCAGAGATCAATGTGGTGGAAGTATATAAGTAAGGGGAGAAGCGGTAGGAAACGGGGTGGGAGAAGTAAAGGAATGGGGGGAATCAGATCATGTAAGGCTTTGCAGGTCTACACTGTAAAAATTACATTTTATTCTGAGTTTGGGAAGCCACCAAAGAATCAGACTTATGTTTTATAAAGAATCTGGCTGCTGAGTGGTGAATAAACTGGTTATTATAATCTGTTAAAAATAGAGCTATTAAAGATTATAAAAGGAATGGAGCATGAAGATCTAGCAAGACTCTTCCTACTTAAAGTGTAGCCCATGGATCAGAAGTATTGGCATCAGCACCTGGGCCTTGTTAGACATGAAGAATTTTGGACCTCACCCCTGACCTCCTGATTCAGAATCTGCATTTAACGAGATCCCCCAAGTGATCTATATCCACCCGGAAGTGTGAGAAGCACTGGTCTAGTCCAGCCTCTTCATTGGTGAAAACAAGTATTAATCTGCAGAAGTGACTTGCTTATGATCACATGGCTGAGCTCATAACAGGGCCAAGGCTAGGGCCCAGGTCTCCTGACCCTGGTGAGCCTACTTTCCATGGACTCATGTGGTCATGAGGCTAATAGATTATAATATCCATTCACTCAGTCAGGTAGTCAATAATTCACTCACTCACTAAGACATCATCCCATAATCATATACAATTATTTCACTAAATATTTCTACTGAAAGAACTCAAGAGCAAGTCAAGAGAAACTGATAAAAGACTAGGCAAATCTACCTTAATGGATCACCTACACAGATTTCAAAACAAAACAAAAAACCTTACCATGAGTACTGTAGGTCTCAGCTGCAATAATTACTCCTACCCATCTCATCATCTGTTGAGATTTGCTGGAAATGCCCAGGATGTTTAGGTGTGGTGCCCCTTGAAATATTTCTTCCTTAAGAAGGGTGGGAAAAAGCACAAATTTCATTGTCTTCTCAGCAGAAAATCCCCTATGGCCTGAAGAAAAAAAAAATTTTTTTTAATGTCTAGGTGGGTACCACCCCAGGATCTTGAAGATTAGACCCTGAAACCCAGGTCATGTCCCAAAAGGGAAGAGTTAAGATAGGGAGGACTCTATTTTAAGGGATTGATAGGGTGAATGGCTGGAAGTTTCTACAATGGAAAAATAGGGCGGGGTTATCATCTCTGTCATTGCTATTATTGTTGTTGTTATCAAAAACTTGTAAATAGTGCTCTTAAATTATTGTCCCTTCAGAACAATAAAGGAGATAACGGAGACTCTGAGTTTATTTGCAAACCCAAAAGGAATATTGCTATTCTCCAGCAACTTGGCTTTAAGAAAAGGGGCCCAGCACTGACTGTTGGGATTCATGCAATTCCAGGGGCAGGGCTAGGTATGCTGCTTGAGAACTATGAGGGTTGGAAGATTCTTTTTGGAAATGGTTCTTCTGCTAGAGTGAGAAGGGCACTTCTAAGGGGAGGGCCCTTTCTCTCTAGGAGGCTAATGGGAGATAGATGGCAGGGGAGGTGGTGAGGGAAGGAAAGGGGAGTATGAGGGAGACACTGTGGAATTAGACTTCCAGGACAGGGCCGAAGGGAGTGCTTGAAGATGCCTCTGAAAGATCAAACCTGAGGGATTGGAAGAATGGTGGGTTACCTGGTGCAGGAGCCTGATGTGGCGGGGGCCAGACATGGTGGGAATCTCCCTTTTCCATGTCCAGCATGGAATGAACAAACCAGTTTTAAGTGGAGGCAGACAGGGATTGAGAAATAATAGAAAGAAAGAAAGAAAGAAAGAAAGAAAGAGAGAGAGAGAGAGAGAGAGAGAGAGAAAGAGCCGAGACCGGTTTGGCTCAGTGGATAGAGCGTCAGCTTGGAGACTGAGGGGTCCCGGGTTCGATTCCGGTCAAGGGCATATACCTTGGTTGCGGGCATATCCCCAGTGGGGGGTGTGCAAGAGGCAGCTGATCGATGACTCTCCATCCATGTTTCTAACTCTCTATCTCTCTCCCTTCCTCTCTGTACAAAATCAATAAAATATATTAAAAAAAAGAAAGAAAGAAAGAAAGAAAGAAAGAAAGAAAGAAAGAAAGGAGATGCAGAAATTGATTTAAAGCTGGGAGCTGGGTAGGCCTCCATTCTCACTGATGGAGAAGCAGGAAGATGATGATGACTCCTCCCAGCACATTTATTTTATAACCCCAATACCAGGAAGTAACACCTGGGCTAATATGAAGGCCAAGCTGATTACACTTTCTGCCATTTTGGGGAACTGTGTATCCTAGACACGGCTCTGCCAATTGTCTCAGTCTCAGCTGGCAACAATTAAAAGAAATGTCCATGTGCCTTCCCAGGTGGCCCTCTACAACCTGGAAAATTATTCAATTTCTATATTAATCAGGGTTGTTAGCTGCTGCTCACCTTCTTTCCCCTTGTCTCAGTGATCAGCACTACGACAGCTTATTTATTTCTTACCCTTTATGCTGTTTACAGTAAGATGTGGAGATGCTGAAGGGGCTAGGGGATGGGCAGTGCTTCCTCACAGGTGTCTTCCAGACATGGCACCCTGGCTGGACCCCCGTGGTAACTTTGTTAGGGGCAAAAATGGAATATTAGGGACTAGCTATGGTTACGAGAAATATTAATGCTCTGTTCACCATGATTGCCTTGTGTTGGTTAAAGAAAGGACATTCTTACCTGGCTGGGAGTTGTAGGACCCCCCTGACCTGGGAGTCAACCTTGGATCTGGGAGACAACCTTGAAATGTGGTCCATTCTCATGGAAAGATTAACAACCTTGTTGCCAAACTGCTAGTCGAATAAGGCTGTCTCCCAGCATAGACACAGGTGATCCTCACAGCCAATTGGCCTGGAGGTAAGTTCCTCCCAGTGATATAAACAACAATCAAGACTTAAATACAATAAGGCTGTACACACAGTCCACAAAGGAGTGTACCAAGAGTGTCCACCTCAGGTAACTGGGAGGCTGACCCACTGAACCCTATAGGACACCTTAGCACACAAATCCACCCTATCAATTCAGGGAAGCAGCGAAAATGCAGAGACGAGAAAACAGATCACAAATGAAAGAAATGGAAGATAACAAGCAACTGGATATAGAATTCAAAACCATGGTTATAAGGTTTTTAAAGAATTTCCTGGAAAAAGCCAATAAAATAAAGGAGGCCTATGAGGATATGAAAAGGGATCAACTAGAAATAAAGAATACATTGTCTGAAATAAAAAATATTCTACAGAGTCCTAAAAACAGAATGGAAGATCGCAAGAATCAAGTCAAAGATTTGGAACATAAAGAGTCAGAGGACATTCCTCCACTGAAGCAAGAAGACAAGAGAATCCAGAAAGTTGAAGATAATATAAGAAACCTCCGGGACAACTTCAAGCAAACCAACATCAGAATTATGGGGGTCCCAGAAGAGAGAGAGCAAGATACCGAAAACATATTGGAAGAAATAGTGACAGAAAACTTCCCCCACCTGGTGAAAGAAATAGACTTACAAGTCCAGGAAGCACACAGAACCCCAAACAAAAGGAATCCAAAGAAGACCACACCAAGACACACCATAATTAAAATTCCAAGAGCAAAAGACAAAGAGAGAATATTAAAAGCAGCAAGAGCAAAGCAGGTAGTTACCTAAAAAGGAGCACCTATACGATTGTCAGCTGACTTCTCAACAGAAACCATGCAAGCCAGACGGGAATGGCAAAAAATATTCAAGGTGATGAATAGTAAGAACATACAGCCAAAAATAATCTACCCAGCAAAGCTATCACTCACAATCAAAGGCCAGATAAAGAGCTTCATTAATAAAAAAAAAAAAAAAAAGCTAAAGGAGTTCATCACTGCCAAACCAGGATTATATGAATTGCTGAAGGGGGTTCTTTAGGAAGAGGAAGAAAATGAAGATAAAAAGTATGAACAACAAATATGTAACTATCAACAAGTGAATCTAAAAACTAAAGGAATTAAAAAATCTGATGAACAATATTAACTGGTGACTACAATAGAATCAGAGGTATGGAAGGGGAGTGAACTGATGATTCTCAGGGAAAAGGGAAGTGGGGGGTGCGGGAAGAGACTGAACATAAACTGTGCACCTATGGATGAGGACAATGGGAACCTGGTGGAGGGGAGCTTTGGAGGAAAAAAAATGAGGAACATTTGTAATAATATGAACAATAAAGATTTATTTTAAAAAAAACAAAAAAAAACCCTTGTTGCCCAAACAATGGAGTCCCACCCAGCCTCCTACTTCCCAATGCCTGTAATCTTCACTTCCCTATATTACAGGCATATAATCCATATTTCCCTGTGTAACTTTGTCTTCCGGGGGGGCTGCAGAGCAGATTTTTGTGGATGACCTGTTGGAATAAACGCTCATATACGATTCAACACTGTCTCTGCTTCATTGGCTCAAGTAATGACAGGCAGCACAGACCCATTGGTTATCCAGTTACAACTTCACTATCTGGGAATCCTTTGCTTCCAGCCAAGTGGACAGAAAAGAAAGTAAAGCTTTGTCTGTGCCACCAGGAACTGGAAGTGACTCATAACTCGCTTGCTTCTGTTGGTGAGGATTAGCCACGTGGCCCCATCCAGCCTCCAGGGACTCAGAAACCCAGCTTACCGGAGGGCCCAGGAAGCGAGCCTGATTAGGGAACACAGCCAGCCCTCAGCCACATGAATCCACTCACATGAATCTGGGAAGCCGTGCTGCTCACACCTGTGTGGCTTCTCAGGCGGCTGGCCTACTGGCGGGGACTTTGCTTGGTACACGTGGGGAGCTGTTGTTGACCCCGTGCAGAAGGAAGTTTCTTCTGTTCCAAATCCCATCCTGCTGCTCTGAATGGACTGTTGTTGGTTAGGGTTAGGTTTAGAGGTCACTGGGGACCACTGTGTCTCTGGCAATCCTCCCTGCCCCTTTGGAAATGGCAGAGCCTGTACTTTGCTCTTTATTGTGGCCAAGCTGTACAACCTTCAATGCTCCTACCAACCCTGAGTTCCTATGACGAATACTCAGGATCTTTGGATTTTCTACCAATACCTGAGGGAGTCCCTTCTTCCTGGGCCTTAGTTTCTCTACTGCAAAGGGAGAGGTTGGCCCACGAGACCTTTAACGTTCTTTCCAGGTCTGAGAATCCATTTCCTCTTAGAGGACTAGCTTGGAGCAGCCCATGTCACCTCTCCTGAGCCCTTGGAAAGGAATGAAGCCTGAAAAAATTGGGGTTGCTGCTGTGAGCTTTGGCGGCATCTGATCCTGCTCAAAATTACATAACAAAGTCAGGGACTCTCAGCTGGCATTCAGTAGCTGGCAACTAGCCAAAACAAGCAGCACCTGAATAAATGGAGCGAGTGACCCAAGAAGGGCCCAGGCCAAGGCCAGAAGTTAGGTTTCAAGGCAGCAAAAGTGTTCTGCCTGCTTGGACCTCTGGGAGACTCAGGTGTGAGCAAGGCCTAGAGCACCCATAGATGTGAGACCAAGTGCATCCATCCGTCTGGGCCCCAGCAGGCAGCAGATGTGCCCACACAAGCGTTTAACTGGAGGAAGCAGGCAGAATAAAAGACTAATGAAGGGACTATTTACAAAGGTGTGGCCAGAGTTAAGGAACCAACACAGAATGGTGTGGACCTCAGGGACTAGGACCAGAACTAAAGTCTATGAGAGCTGGAGGAGTGGGAGAGAGGCCTCCCTCCCACAGAAGCCAACCACTGTCAGGACACTGTAAAGCAGGAGCAAGGCATCCCAGATGGGGTGGGATGGAGCGCAGAATAAACATGTTAACCTGGAATCTCCTGCCAGTGACTCCCATGGCTGAACCCAACAGGAAGTCAAAGGGACAGGGAGCCTGGAGTTGGAGAGCACACAGAAGGAGCAGAACTGGGATGGATCGGGGGAGGGAGGCAGTTGGAGAATAAGCAGGACAAGAGTCTTGAGTCTTACCTGGCCACCGCTGTTTCTCCCATGTCTGTGGAGA